CACACACACACACACACACACACACTGGCATGAGTTTAAGACACCGGGTCGGGGACTCAAACCACAGCTGACCACATGGGAGCCCAGCAACATAGCCATTACACCAAGTGCTGGTCCCTGTAGTACTCCTTTCTTTAAAAAAATAATAAACTTTATTCAACAAATACTTACTGCAAGTCTACCATGAGCTAAGCACTATAGACACAACTAAAAAGTTTGCTTTCTTTTTTATTTTTACACTGCCAGAGGATATGAAAGAAAGGAGAAAGGGAGGGAAAAGGAGAAAACCACCTTCAGTGGGGCATGGTCATGCCACAATCCCTTCTCCTCCATTTCTGCACCCAGACTGTTTTTCAAGCTGCCAGGGTCAGGATTTAAACTGTGGTCAGCCATGTGGGATCTGGTTCCTTTAAGCAGTAGGTTAGAAGCCAACTGAAATTTTTAAAAAGTATTATTATCATCAAACATGAGTACTATAAAAATGCTAAAAATGGGGCCACAGTGGTAATGCAACTGGACCCATAGGTTTGAATCCTGGGACATCTCTGCACATGCTCAGGATGCAGGCCAGCTGAGGCTGGCTGAGTTTCGTTCATTCATTCATTCAGCAAACACTTACCGGCTACCAACTACATGATAAGAACTATGCTGGGACCAGCAGATGGTGTCGTGGTTATGTCACTAGGCTCCCACATGGCCAACCACAGTTTAAGCCCTGGATCCAGTGGCTTCAAACTCATGCCAGGCATGTGCGTGTACGTGGCCAAAATCCCAAGAGGAGAGTGGAGGAGAAGGGATTGTGGCATGGTCATCCACCCTGGGGGGTGATTTCTCATTTTTTTGTCTCTCTGTCTCTCCAGCAAGCACACATACCCTATAGCCTGGAGAGAGAGAGAGAGAGAGAGATCACCCCTAAGGGGGATGGTTATACCACAATCCCTTTCTTCCAGTCTCCTCTCGGGATTTTGGGCATGCATGCACATGTGCCCAGCTTGTTTTTCAAGCCTGCCATGTGGGATCCGGCACCTTAACCTCCACGCCAACTGCTGCTGGCCTGGCTTTCATACTCCTAACTAGCCTTTGCCCTAGGACCTGGTCTGCTGGCTACAGCCAAAATTACGTATCTGAGTATACCTTATTTTCCCAGGGGACTATTAGGAAATGGGCTGCTAGGAAATTCAGATCTAAATACACACACACTTTTAATGTTCTTTAATTCCAGGCCCTTACTGAATTGGTTTCTACTCTTTCTTGTTTATATAAACAGCACAACGTGATCTTAAAAATAAGGCCTGAATGACCTCACGACTAATTTCCTACAGATGTCCTCTCTTCCTTGTTGGCGTTTCTAATTTGCTTACATTAGATTCTGTCTAGCAGCCAAGGTCACAGTGTCATCAGAATGAGAACAGTGACAGGCTTTTTTGTTTCTTTTGTTTTGTTTTGTTTTTTAGGTTTTTGCCATAAGGCATGAGAGAGAGAGAGAGAGCAAGTGAGAAATCACCTCCCCCCTGGGGGGATGGCCATGCTGCAATCTGTTCTCTTCCATTCTCTCTCAGGATTTTGGGAATATGCACGCACGTGTCCAGTATGATTGTCAAGCCATCAGGTCCAGGACTCGAACCATGGTCAGCTATGTGGGAGTCTAGCACTTTAACCACCATACCACCTGCTGGTCCCTCCTTTTTTAAGTTTTTAAAAAATTTTGTTAAAGGGCATGTGTGCTCAGCAGAGAGAGATGGGAGAGCAGGGAAGAGTCAGAGAGAGAAAGCACCTCCTCATGGGGGATGGTCACACCACAATCCCTCTCTTCCATTTCTCCTTTTGAGACTTTGGGCACAAAACGCACCTATGCCCAGCATGTCTTTCAAGCCACAGAGTGTGCAGTCAGTCACCTGGGATCCAGCTGTCTCAACCACCGGGCCTCCTACTGGCCTAGCAGTTTTTAATATTATATTTACAGACTGAGAATGAGGTAATCTATGCTTTAGCCATTGTAGCAAAAATTCCCACCACCATAAATTCTCAATAGTTTAGGAACACCCAGGCTAACTGGTTCTAGAAACAAAGGGAATGCAACTGGATTTTTGTGTTGTAAATTGCTAGGCTTCAGGATGCATAATTTGGAAGTGGGACCTTGCTGTAGGACTGGCAGCACAATGGAGAGACTAGGAGAAAGAACTAACTTTTTTTTAGGGCATGTGCACTCACCAGAAAGAGAGAGAGAAAGTGGGAAGTCACCCCCTGGGGGAACGGCCATGCTGCAATCCCCCCTCCTCCATTCTCTTCTCGGGATCTTGGGCACACACGCACTCACTGAGTTTAAAGCCTCAGGTTCAGGACTTGAGCTGTGGTTGGCCACGTGGGAGTCTAGTGCCTTAACCACTATGCCACTTCCTGGCCCTAAGAACTTACTTTTTAAAAAATTATTATTTAATTTTATTCATTATTATTATTTTAATTTGATCAGAGAGAGACACACAGAGAGAGGGAGAGAGGGAAAGTGAGAAAGCAAGCTGCCGGGTCTAGGACTCAAACCACAGTCAACCATGTCGGAATCCAGTGCCTCAACTACCATGCCACCTGTTGGCCCTAAGAACTAACAGTTTTAAGGGCCTGCCTGGCACTGGGATACATTGGCTCTTTGCTATCCGCAGGAGCTAGTTCTTACACATTCACATAGCTGTTAAAATTTCAGGATTTGAAAAACGTCTTTTCTTTTATTCATGATAGAGTATATGCACATGTGCGT